AGCGATTTTTATCGCCCATCTCTGCTTCCCGCCCCCTCATTTATCCACGCCCCCCCCCCCCCCGCGCCCAACCCTCGGGCTGATCTCTTCTGGGCCTCCGGCTCTCCCTACCCCCTCTTTGGCAAAATCAGGTGCGCACCTCCGGCTGACAACCGGCTCACACCTGGCCTCTTTTGCAGGTTCCAGCCCAGCCGTAGCCATCTCCATCTGTGAGAAATATTTAGGAATTGGGGTTTTAGGGTGAAATCCTCTTCAGGACGGCCATTACCCCATAAAACACTAGTTAGTGGTTCTGTAACATGGTTTGCGGAGAGATACAGGGCAACTGGAAAAGGCGGGAAGGGAGGCGGGTTTGCCAAGGTCTTGCGGGTGGGTAACGAGCCTCCCGTCCTCTGCAGACTGGCAGAAAACCGAGGCCCAGAAGCGACGCGAGCAGCTCCTGCTGGATGAGCTGGTGGCCTTGGTGAACAAGCGCGACGCGCTCGTCAGGGACCTGGACGCGCAGGAGAAGCAGTGAGTGGGCAGTGGGGTCGGGGGTCGAGTCTCTGCCGCCAGCCCAGGGGCCGAGAAGTTTGTGGAAAGTTCAGTCCAGAGGTCTCGAGTGGGCCGGGGGCAGCGCCCCCCTCCCCGTGCTGGCCCCAGGATTCTTATTCCCGCTGGGGCTCAGATTGCGGGGTGAGAGGGGAGTGCAGCTCTGCCCTCTACGTAGAAAAATAAATGTATTTCCTGTTTGACTTCCAGGGCTGAAGAAGAAGATGAGCATTTGGAGCGAACTCTGGAGCAAAACAAAGGCAAGATGGCCAAGAAAGAAGAGAAATGTGTTCTTCAATAGCAGCCGGACCAGAATCTCCCAATATTTTAATCCTGGGTCCCCCGACCAGAAAATGTCAGATTCGTTGTTGATTTAAAACTTTTAACATTTTTTCGGGGCTGGATTGTACTTCTTTACCACCACCCCCACCCCTTTTCCTCCCTCTTTGCCAGATAATATACAAAACTCCAAAATAGCTTTGTTTAGGGATTTGTGTGTGTGTGAGTTAATCATTTTCTTGAAATCATGTGAAATAAATTTGCACAGATACCTTGTGAGTGATTGGTATTGAGAGTGTTCAAGAGGCTGTTCAAAGAAAAAAGAAAAAAAAACCTTTCTCTTATTATTTTCCCCTCAGTTTTTGATGGGAGGACAATTTGGAACATTTTTGTTGTTGTTGTTGTTGTTGTTGTTGTTGTTGTTGATAGCATAAATGGTGGGGAGGGGGGTGGAAGTGGGGGTAAGAAAAATGTCATGAATGATTTTTTTTCCAGTCCTGCCATATGTAACACTTGACTCTGTTACCTAAATTTTATAGTTAGATCATATTCAATCTACTTCTTAAACTGTGTTCTATTTACCAGTGGGATTTTCTGCAGTTGTTTTGCATTTCACTGTAAGGATAATAGAGTTCCTGTCCTCTGCTTTCCTTAGAGGATGGCTCTTTAATGTAGCCTGAGACAAGTCCTGTGATTTGAAGGTGAGCTGTGAGGATGGGGCTAATTGACATGCATCAGTTTACAAAGACGGTCTTATCATCTGAGAATGCGCCATCTTTTGCTCTGGATAATTATTTATTACATCTAGCTTGGTTCCTACATTTTGTTGGGTCTCAACATTGGCTCAAGAATGCTGTTAATATTTATTCTGTATTGATAAAAGTCTGTCTTGCCACTATGAGTAAGTCCCCCAATTAATATTTTCTTCTCTAGCATAGCACTGTCATTTTTTGTGTGAAAATGGTTATCTGTTTATTTATTACAATACTGAGTCATATATAAATTTTCAATAAAAGCGGAAACTTTCTTACCTTAACCACTGCTGATACTTCCTTGCAATGAAAACTTGACACTGGTTTGAGAAGTTCCTGTATCCATAGGACTTCATGTGGGAGAAAATGGTCCTCTTGAATGCAGAGCAGGTACTAGGCTGTATTTGGAGCTGAGTAAGTTTATACGATCCCAAAGGGGCCCTGCTGACACACAAATGCGAACTGAAATACAATTAGTCATATTTTTCTTAAGCAGTGTAAACTATTCTCTTTTGTCAAGAAGGGTCATCTCTGTTAAAGATTTAAGGAAATTTGTGATTCCACGGCACTGAAAAAATGCTAATAATATCTTGACGAATTTTCCACGTTATTTTCAATTGTTAATAAGGTTGCACTCATTAGGAAAAATTATGACTTCTGATAACCTGCAAATCTGTAGGTGCTGAAGTGAAAGAAAGAAAGGTTATTGTCGGCAGGGAGGATACATGCGTGCAGGTGTGTGTATGAGATGAGGGAAAGGGAACTTTTAACAAGAAGTTCTAGGCTGCAGAAAAAAACTGGCGATTTTATGGTAGTTTCCATCACTCCTCTAAGAGGTGTCCGAAACAAAGCAGGCTCGTTCAACAAGTCTAGAGACAGAGAAAACAGTCCTCTAGCATTTATACTTTAGCCTAGATCACACATACATATATGTAAATATACACACAAATCTACACACACACACACACACACACACACACACACAAATCGCGTTCGAAAAGTAGACAGCCGCCTTCAACTGGCCAATCTTTCAAAATGGTAAAACTTCCTACGGTAGAATTTCTTCCTGACAAGGATTGAAGTTATTGAAAAGTTATCAGAACTAAATGAAATTGAGTTTTTGTCCTCTTTATTCAAGTAAGAGAGCGGAGCTAGCTGCCGCTCTCTGGGGGAAGCTCTCAGAACCCTCCTCTAACCCCTGGGAAGCAGGCAGATGAAATCGCCAGCCCCAAGCAGCCTGGGGCTTGGGCGGCCAGCATCACCGTCCCATTTACGCTAGATTCGGGGAAGCTTCCCTCCCGAGGAGACTCGCGGAGAGGCGGCTCCCCCACGCCGCTTCCGACCTGTCAAGCGACAAACCTTCCCCAGCCCCACATTTGCTGTCCCTCCTGCCCCGGTCCCGAGCCTCGCGGGGTTTCCATTTGGGCTGCTGTGTGGCGCCCGCACGCCCCGCAGCGGCGGCGGAGCGCGGACCCCTGGGACTAGTGGGGTCAGGCCCGGGGCGAAGGCTCCGCGTCCCGATTTCGTCGCGTTGTGCCCAGAGGTTGCCCGCCGAGCGCAGGCGCAAGCCCAGCGTACCGAGAGGCCCGGAACCAGAAAGCCCGCGCTGCGGGAAAAGAAGCTATGGGCCCGGGGGTCGCTGGGGAGGAGGAGCATTGGCAGCAGGCTGGCTGGGGCACAGCCCGCAGGCCGATGCAGAACTTCCGCCCCTGGCCGGGATCCCACGACCCCGGAGCCAAAACCCCTCCCACTGTCCCAAGTGTCCCCCAGAGTCTGGCCCGGCCTCGAGGTCACCTGGGTGCTGGATCCGGGTCCCAGGGCCCAACTCCCACTCCCCCTCCACGGCCCGGGGGCCTCGAGCTGGGTGGACGTGCTCTCCCTCCGGAATGCCCCCCTCTTCCCCTCCCCGCCCTGCGGCCATTGCTGGAACGGTCGCGGCTTCTGGCCCAGCGTCTCCCACCTGGACATTTGCCTAGCGACGGCCGCCTCAGTCCTCCACGCCGCGTACCAGAAACTTTCATCTCAGTCTGTCTCCCTCTCAGCACTCCTCCCTCTCCCTCTCTTTCTTTTCTTAATCCCGGGGTTTTATGGGTTGAGCATTAAGAAAATTCGCCTGCAATTTGGGATTAGATAAATACTCTCATTAGGGGGGTGGGGGGACTGTGCTACTTGATACCTCCCAACTTCCCCGAGACCGTGGCAGCATCTGGAAGCGAGAGCGCCGGACTCCCGCGTGGCGGGCCCTGGGGACTGCCTGAGCACATTCCAGCGCGCACAGCAGCCCCACCTCTCCGCGCCGGACCTCGGCCCCGCGCTGCAGCTGCAGGCGAAACAGCGCGCGGAGGAGGCAGGAGTGCGAGAGGTTGCGGGGCTGGGACACGGACATGCACCCCGGCACCGGACGGCTATACCCAGGCACAGAGCGCGCAGGCCTGGGCTAGGGCAGCGCCGGGCTGAGGACGCAGACGCTTTCGCCGCGCACTCCAGGACTCCCGCATAGCCTTCCCTCACAAACTAGTGCCCTCCTGCCCGCGCCTTTCCCCAGAACTGAAGGCGCGGGTGTATTTCATTTCTTTCTTTAAGCCTTTGCACCATCGCAGGGGCTCTGAACCGCGGGCCTTGCGGGCTACTATCCGCGGGGGCCTGCGAGAGCCTAAGTTGTGTCCCCGCCCGGGTCAGCGCTGCGCTCTGAGCAGTTTCTTTCCCGTTAAAGCTTTTTCTTTCTCATGTTTTTCCTTTTCTCTCGTTCTTTTATTGTTCTCTCTCTCTCCCTCTCTCTCTCTCTCCTTCTTTCCCTTTTGTGAATGGGCTGCGGTGTCTTTGTTCTGGAGAGAAGCGCCCGTGTCGCTGACTTTTGTGAACCAGAGAAGGATCTTGTAAAACCTCCTTTTCTCCTTCATACTCCTCCACTCCCACCCCTCCTCCTTTGCCCCTTTGATTAGATGTTCCCTCATCGTCAAAAAAAAAAAAAATGTAATTTCGTTGGTCTGGCGGCCACTTTCTTTGAACATTAGCTCGCTTTCAGCTCCAACTTCAATTAGAAGGAGTTGATTTTGAGAGATCAACAAAAGAACCGACCAAAGCCTTATTAAAGGTCCTAAGAAGATCTCCCGGGTCCTTTGAGAAGCAGTTAAGGAAACAGTGTGCCCTCCATCATATTCTGTTACCGTATTTTATTCGGACTCCAAAGGAAAGTGTCGCTTGGGGGAGGGGGAAGCACTTTGATGAGCGGCGGCCGCGGCCCCTTTTCACTCAGCGGGCTCCCCCTTCCTTCTCCTCCTCCTCCTCCTCCTCCTCCTTCTCCTCCTCCTCCTCACCCAGAGCCCAGTCCGCTCTCGGTGCCCGACCTCGCGGCCCCGGCAGCGCTGGCGCTCCCCACCGCGACGCGCCTGGCGGCTCCTTGACTCGCCCTTACACTTACTCCTGTTCAAACTTTTCACTCCGCCTGTTGGGATGGAGGGGAGGGGGGATTAGGAAAAGGAGTAGGAATTCCTCGAAAGGGAGTAAAGTGGCGCCTAATATTCAGAAGGAGGTGCCACTTACATGAATTGCCTTGCTCAGGGTTGGGGCGAAAACATATTTTGGGCGCTCTGAAAAGTCCACACAGGCACACGGGTTTGAGAAGTTTGTTCGGCCGGGAAACGGGCTTCGCCAGTACGAACAATCCGGGGAAACCCCAGAAGGTTCCTTCAGCGGTATGTGAGAAAGAAATTGAGGGCAGGGGTCTGTGGCCACGTTTTCCACCAGACTGTCCCTGGTAGAAGGAGATCGGGAAGAAGACAGAGAATGAGTATGAAAGAGAAAGTTTCCTTCCTATCAGAATCTTTCGATTCAGAAGCAGTGTGTGTGTAAGGGGTAGCAGACGCTGGCTTCCAACATTTCAGAAGAAGCGTCTAAGATTTGCAAACACCCTTCGTGGGGACTGTGAACCCCAGGAGACACCGAGGAGTAGGTAAGTGGCGGAGCCTCCCCTGCGGGTGCCGTTCCGGGCGCGGGAATCCCGAGGCGCCGAGGCGGGATCTGCGCACCTAGAGCTGCTCCTGCGCTCGGCAAAGTAGCCTGTGCCAGCACGAGCCGCCCGCGGCGTCGGTCTGCAGGTGGCGGCGCGCTGAAAGAAGACGCTGGGGCCCGCGGCGCCGCGAGAGGGGCCGGGGGCCCCCTCCACTCCAGCCCGCGGCTCCGGAATCCTCGAGCCCACAGCCGGGCCGCCGAGCCGGGTGGCGCGCGGGAGAGAGAGAGAGGGAACCGGTTCTCCAGCACCTCGCCTCCTCTCTGCCACTCCCTGCCGGGCGCCGAAAGGGCGAGGGAAGGGCGGGGACCCCGGGGCGGCCTCAGGACCGGCGTCCCTCTCTGTGGACGGGGCTCTGGCGCAGCGTTCGCTGTCTTCGCCTCGCTCTGCGCGGCGTTTGCCAGCCAAGCCCTGGAGTTAGCGCGCCACCGGGGCGGGGCGGGCGGGCGGTGAGGGCGGGGTGCAGGGGGCGGAGGAGGGCGGGGGCGCATGGAGGTAACCCCCGGCTCGTGCTGCCATTGCCCGGCTCCCTGTCACTCAGCCCGCGCGGGGCCGGGGATTGGCAGCATAGCCCCGTTACGCACTCACCTCGCGTTCACATACCCGGGGAGGGCAGTAGAAAGGTGATCAATCTTCATCAGGCTACATTTCCAATCACCTAAACAACCCGGCAAGACAAGCCACTCCGACAAGGTAAATCGCTCGATTTATTTAGTTTGCAGAGTGCCTCTGCAGGACTTCCCCAGCCCCCACCGCCTCCACGTTGTACCGGGAGTGCAACTGCAACCGCGAGCCACCTCCCAACTCTGCCCCTTTCACCCCCACCCTACCCCTTGCGGCCCCTCGGCGCGGTCCCGGGCGAGGTAGTGTCTCGGGAACGCGTAGGGCTTTGCCAACAAAGTGTCTGTGCAATAAAGTGAAACCTGGAGGGACACGCACAAAGCCACTGGAAAGAAAGAGAAGGAAGGAGGGAAGTTGGGAAAGAAAGAAATCCAGGGATCCTAGACCAGCCGCTCGGCCCGGCGAGTAATTCCTGTGCCGCTCTGTTTTGCAGGTTGGCTGCCCCGCGCGGGTCTGTGTGAGGGCGCGAGGTAGATGGTGAGCGGCCCCGGCAGCTGAGGGCAGGTAAGGAGAAAGCCGTGGGGCCGCCCTAGACTCCGGGAGCTCGTCGGTTGTTCTTACCTCCCCTTCCTCAAACGGGCCCCCGCTTCCTGGGTCCCCGGCAGGTGGGCGGGGCTGGGGAGCGGCCTCGCTCCCCTCTTGGTGTGCGGACGACCCGAGATCTCTGCGTTGGCCCCGCGCCCCCTCCCCCGCCTCCTCCGAAGTAACCAAGTGCTAAGTTTGAAGAAAGTCTTTGAAAACTCACGCTGCAGCCTAGCAGAGACGCCGCGTTTTGACGTCCCATTCTCTTTGGGCCCTGGAGCCCTGGCTGTTTCCCTCTTACCCTTCCCTGCAAATTGTGTTCCCCCAGCCCAGACCGTGGGTCCTGATGGATAGGAGTAGGGTGGCTTCTTTAGCTCTTACTGCTCTCCCTGAACTCCTAGCCCGGGGCCCAGGCCTGCTTTGGATTCCCGCGACGCGGGGTGAAGCGACAGGTACCCCGGGGGGCCCCGGTCCCACTCCCCCAGCTCTATTTCCTCCCCTCTGAGAATAGCGCCTCTGGTTGGAGGCAACCGGGGAAGCGAGGCTTCGACTTTCCAGTGCGGGTCAGCGCGAGCTCTGCCGCCGAGGCCTACTTGTCTCAATCGGGTTATGGGGCCGCGGGTTCATCTAGTAGGATAGGAAGGGAGTACACCAGAACGCTGCACTGAGGCCTCCCAAATCCGTGAGACCTTTTGGGGAGCTCGGCGGGTCACCTTTCAGCCTCCGCCGGGACGACATTGTCCGCAGCCAGGACCGGGCAGAAAGAAGGACCCGCTCGCATTCGCGAAGAAGGGCCTGCGGCGGTGGCCAGGCGCCCCTGACCTCCCGCCGCGTCTTAGAGCCGCCACCTCTACAGTGGCCCCTTCTGCGTCTTCTGGCCGCCTCTGCGGGCCCTGGGCCTGTAACTGCGGTTAAGGTGTGGTGGGATTCCCGGTGAGCAATCTTTCAAAGTCTGGGCACAGAGAGGTTAACTAGAGGGGTGGCTGTGGGCTCTGGGGCCGGGACCCAGTGGCAGAGACCTTTGAAGGAATGTATTCCTCTAAGTGGGTAATGCATCTCAGAGAGGCCCAGGCGCTGCGAGCTCCCCGAAGTGCCTCACCTTGGCTCTCTGGAGCCTCTACCTTTTGGTCCCGCTTTCAAAAACGTTTGAAACAAAAGGAAACAACCCCTTATGCCCTGGGCAGCCTGCCTCACTGGCGCGGAGTAAACGTTTGCTTTTGCAGTATTGAGGCCTGCTCCTACCGGACCAGAATTTTGCCTAGACTTGGGACCTTGTACACTCCGCCTTTCAGGCTCCGACCTTTCCAGCTTAGCCCTGCTTTTAACCTCTCCTCACTCTTAGTGACATCCTAGGAGTGTCTTTTACCCTTCCAAGTGTGAAAAGAGTAGATGATGATCCAGAAAAGCTTACTTTTTTCAAAGAAGCTGTGGTTTTTAGACTAAGGCCTTATAGAGCCGAGTTGACCGCCTCGCGAAGTTCCGTAGCCTCCCCATTCCGTGGCTCCTTGCCTCAGACAAGACAAGGAAGCCGAGATGGCTCCCAATCACTGTTTACATGTGTCTCCTGTCTCCATAGGCCGGGCCCCCAGGCGCCAAAGAGCTTGAAGGACTGCGCAGTGGGAGCCCCGCACTGCGCCAGGCCCCGGCCCCCTGGATCCGTCGGGGCGCCTCCACCCAGCTGTTAGCATGATGTCTTACCTCAAACAACCCCCATACGGCATGAACGGGCTGGGCCTGGCCGGGCCAGCCATGGACCTCCTGCATCCTTCCGTGGGCTACCCCGGTGAGCACCGGTACCCGCCCCCAGCCCCTGCAAATCTTGGGGATCCCCAGACTCTGAGTTTGAGCACACATTTTTGTCGCTGAGCAGGCCCAGGGAGCCGGTTGGCTAGTATGCCTACAATGCACCACAGGCTGCAAGCTCACAGGGCAGTCACCGCTGGGTGAACTGGGCCTGGGCAGTGAAGTAGTGTAATGTGTGCTTTCCCAGCCTGGCCACACGGACAACCTGTTTCCTGTTGTGGTCCCACCACCAGCACAGGGAGCATTTACCTCGGGCAGTTTCCCATGGGCTGCCTTTTTTTTTTTTTTTTTTTTGGTGTGTGTGTGTGTGTGTGTGTGTGTGTGTGTGTGTGTGTGTGTGTTACTATGTGTATCTATTCCTTCCCCCTCCCCACTCCCCCGCCAATATTGAGTGAGGATTCTGGACACTCTCTAGGCCCTAACAGGAAGAGCCAAGATTTTCTCATGAGAAATGACTGGCAGAGATGAGGAAGAGGGGTTCTTTCTCCCTAATTAAATAAATTGTCCTCTACATGGGTCGTTTGCACCAACTTTTGCACTGTGGATGTGGAGAGCCTGAGCAGAATCCTGGCTTTTTGTTTGGTTTTGTTTCCTAGCTCCCACTCCTTCACCCCCATGTATTCTTTCGGAAAGTGTTTTCCGGGCGGTGTTTCTGAGCACCCCTTCACCATCCTCCAGCCAGGGGGTATGTTGGGGGCAAGGGGGCGAAAACAGAGAGATTATATAACTTCTTTTCCTTTCCTAACCTCTGAGAAGTAGGGAAGGGGCAACTCTGAAGTCTTGAAGACCCACTGGTTCTCAGTCGCACGCATGTACTTTCTCCCACCTGTGGCCTCTCAGGCTCGCCTCCCGGGGGAGTTTTTCTTTCGCTTGGAGCTCTGCTCTCTTTTGCAACGGCCTCGCACAGGGCCTGCCTGAGGCCTATCTGCGTCCTCTAGCGTGGGTCCGCGTGGCCACCGCTGACCCGAGGCGCCCCCGCGTGTTCCCTCAGCCACCCCGCGGAAGCAGCGGCGGGAACGCACTACCTTTACACGCTCACAGCTGGACGTGCTCGAGGCGCTCTTCGCCAAGACTCGCTACCCTGACATCTTCATGCGCGAGGAGGTGGCGCTCAAGATCAACCTGCCGGAGTCCAGAGTTCAGGTGTGCGCGCCAGGGCTCCTGGGTCAGGGTAGGGGCTCTGGGACTAGTTGGAGAGGGCCTGGGAAGGGTGGTCTGGTGTGGGGCGGGCTTACAGACTGGGCAATTCCTGTCAGACTCCCCCTAGCGCTCAGCCCGGGCCTGGAAGAGGGGCAAAGTCAAAGGCACTAGCTTAGAGCACTTGGATTCGACCCTTGGTCCCAGGGCGCCTTCGGTATTGAAAATCCTTTTTATGATTTTGGGAGGATAAGCAAGGTTTCCTAACGTAAAGTGCCCAGAGGGCCCGACACTTGCCCCTGCTTCTTCGGCCATTCCAGGATTTGGCAGTTTTCTTTGGGGTCTTGAATTGTGCCTTCGCACTTGCCTTGCATCCCGGGGATCCTGGAAATGGAAGAGTGGAGCTTGGCCAGAGCCTGGTGCCCTGTCGGAGTGCGCTCCCTGGGTGGCGCAGGTTTGATTAGATGTTTCCTTTGCCCAGAGAGGATGCCGAACACAAAACCCGGCTACCGGCTTTGCTGTTTCTGTTTTTGCGGTGAAAATACTGTTTGGATTATAACTCAGAACTCTCCTCAAGGGCCTTTTATCTCGCCTGCTTTCCCTCGAGGCTCGAGAAAGAACCAAGAATGTTGTGCCATGTACCAGGGCCCTCCAAGAGAAGTGAGAACTTTGTCCCATTTGGTTCCCCACTTGGAACCAAGAAGCCCAACGAAATTCTGCTCAGGCTTCCTTCCCTAGTCCCCCGAGTACTGCCTCTGTTCAGCCTCCCCGCCTTGCTTCTGCATCCGCTCAAATTCTCGCTTTGCCCAACGCTGGGCCTCCAGGGGACGACTGCCTCCCACCTCAGACTTGGTGACTGTCCTGCGCGCTCCTTCGTGCCTCTCCGCAGTTTCCTCAGCTCTATTCATAGAAGACAGGGCCTCCAAACATACATGAGGCTGTTGGGAAGCAGCCAACAGCAGAGTTTAGACATGGCTGAACTTCTGGCTGGACAGACGCGAATGTTCCGCCCTAGGGCAGAGTGGCGCTGGGGGTGGGGAGGTGCACGTCCCTACTTTGCCAGAGGAAGATCTTTGATCTGAAGGTTGGGGGAGGGCGGAGGAGCTGGGAACGCAGGGGCAGGGGCTGGCCCGGTGGGAGATGAGGAGGGGTGGAGGCCGCCGTTGGAGAGGGATAAGAGATCCTAAGCCGGGCGGTGGGTACAGGGGCCGGGGAGTAGCAGGCTCTACTCGCCCCCCTGACACCCTCTCCCTGACTCGGCCCGCTGCAGGTCTGGTTCAAGAACCGCCGTGCCAAATGCCGCCAGCAGCAGCAGAGCGGGAGCGGGACCAAGAGCCGCCCAGCCAAGAAGAAGTCGTCCCCGGTGCGGGAGAGCTCGGGCTCGGAAAGCAGCGGCCAGTTCACGCCTCCCGCTGTGTCCAGCTCCGCCTCATCCTCCAGCTCAGGATCCAGCGCCTCCGCCAACCCAGCGGCGGCAGCGGCGGCAGGCCTGGGCGGGAACCCGGCGGTGGCAGTCCCGTCGTCGTTGAGTACGCCGGCTGCCTCATCCATCTGGAGTCCGGCCTCCATCTCGCCGGGCTCAGCGCCCGCGTCGGTGTCAGTGCCCGAGCCCTTGGCCGCGCCTAGCAACGCGTCGTGCATGCAGCGCTCGGTTGCTGCAGGCGCCGCCTCGGCTGCAGCCTCTTATCCCATGTCCTACGGCCAGGGCGGCAGCTACGGGCAGGGCTACCCCGCGCCCTCGTCTTCCTACTTTGGCGGCGTGGACTGCAGCTCCTATCTAGCGCCCATGCACTCGCACCACCACCCGCACCAGCTCAGCCCTATGGCACCCTCCTCCATGGCCGGCCACCATCACCACCATCCGCACGCGCACCATCCGTTGAGCCAGTCCTCAGGCCATCATCACCACCATCATCACCACCACCACCAGGGCTACGGCGGCTCAGGGCTCGCCTTCAACTCTGGCGACTGCTTGGATTACAAGGAGCCTGGCGCCGCCGCTGCTTCCTCGGCTTGGAAACTCAACTTCAATTCGCCCGACTGTCTGGACTATAAAGACCAAGCCTCATGGCGGTTCCAGGTCTTGTGAGCCCAGGAGTGGGAGGAAGAGGAGATGAAACGCAACTACCTGCGCCCTCCGTGGTCCCCGTCCTGTTGCTGCTGCTGCACCGCCCGCCTTTGCCTCGGCTTCTGCAGACCTGAATTTTCATGCCCCTGAAAGATGCCCTTTGCCTGCACTGCCGCCCTCATCTTTCTGCCACTTTGTTTGGGGGATGTGCAGACCCGCCCACCCCTTGGATGAGGGGACAGGTGCTTTGGCTTGGCCCACAAGTTCTATATGGGGAGAGCTGTGTGCTCTCTTCCTCATCCCCTAACGAACTCCTAAGTCACTCTCCTCTGGTGTTTCCGGGCAGTTATTATGCACTTGCAGCCTTCGGAGGCTCTTGCTCTGACTCTCTGTTTGAACCGTACACTTTTATTTATTCTTTCTGGACACTGGAATCACTAACTGGCATGTGTCTGCCCACTGGAGTGCACCCACACTCTACCCCAAATCAAAACAACCACTAAGTGTTTCTCGCTTGCAGACTACCGCCCCTTCAGCAGCCCTCGGTCCCGCTCCCCGGCTGCAGGCCAGAGCTTTCCGGCGTTTTCTCCTCCCCAGCGGGATGCGCTGGGGCACGGCTGGAGGGAGGAGCGCGTCCCTAGCCTCTCGCGCACAGCCCCGCCCTGCGTAGAACTGGCTCAAGCTTCCGCCTCGGCGGGAATGCTGTACATAGTCGGGTCCGTTCCAGGGACCATTTAAACTTTTTAGTTGCTGTTGGTTGAACTGAGCATATCTCGTCTTAGCGCCCAGGAAATAGAACTTTAAGATATATACAGCATATATATACATATATATACACACATATATATAAAACAAAAGCAAAAAATATTTTCCCTCTGTCCCCCTCCGTCTCTTCCTTAAACGATGGCGCTTTTATTTTTTCAGTTGTTGCAAAGCTGTCCTGCTCTCTCACACCTTCTCCCTCTGTGTGTTTATTAAAGAGAACCTTTTGGTTCCAGGAAGCTGGGCGCGGAGGATAGAGAGGGTCCGAGAGTGTGAAGGAAACGACCAAGTCAGGGTACAGGGGAGGGGGCTAGGCTGGGCGGGGACGCAGGGCTGAGCCCTTCACCCGGTCGAAGCACAGAGTCGCAGTTCCGGTGTAGAGACCAATCACAAAACAAAACAAAACAAAAAACAAACAAAAATACGGCATTATGGAAAAACAAACAAGTCAACCCAGGCCCCAAACCCTAGTTCCAATTCCTCTGTCGGTTTCTCTCTTTTTAAACAACCCTGTTTCGTCTAGTGAGTTTTTAGTGCACCTTCATTCTCCGAAATCTGCGGAGAGCCCGCGCCTGTGTATCAATTTTGGCTTTGGCCTTTTCGTCCAGTAGGTGGGAAAGTAATTTGTAAATTTGATTTGTCCGATGTGAAGATCACAAATTACTTGTTGAAATGTAAGGCAGTCCCCCTCCTCCCCTTTTATCTACATTATTTCCCGAAAATAAATGCAAATTAATGAACGGCTTGTCAGTGTTGCTCTTCTGATTCCAGCCCCCAGGTCCTGGTCTCGGGGAGCCTAAAAGGAGGGAAAAAAAGTCCCGTGTTAATACCCTCGCGTGTTAACGAACTGTGGGAAGCAGAAGGCCAAATGATAGGGAGGGAGGACGTGGCAAAAGGAGTCTCCAGAGATGGTCTCTTAGGGAGTGTTCTCCCCTCCCAGTCAGGTCGGCCCCTTCCCGCGGGCGTTTTGACCCCGCATCCCCTCTCGCCATCCTGGACAGAGACAGGTGTCAGGACTCAATTCCCGAAGCAATTCCTTTCTCTTCAGAGGCAGGAACCTGGCACTGATTTCTTCACCCTAATTGCCTGCACCAGACAGAAGAGGGGGAGGGAAAGAGGGTCGGGAGGCGGGAAAGGATAGCTCTGTAATGCTTTCAGAGCTGAGCCAAAAGGAAAAGAAAACAAAACGACAAAAAACCGATCCGTGTCCTGCATGTTGGCAGCAGACAACCTTCCTTTCTGCTGAGCTGTCCCGCGTGGCTTCACGGCGACTAGGGGATCCGAGTCATTCCTTCATGTGCTAAGATGTCCCTCTAAACCCCCAGGCCCTTGCCATAAGTAGCCAAGTTCTCTTTTGCGTATTGTGAAGTTTCTTTCCAACGCAAACATTAAGATCTAGGAAAGCCGACAAGGACGCGTTTCACTTTGGCAGGGGAAGAAGACTCCCCACTTGCAGCAGGGGGTCGGAAAGGACGGTTCCATCTTGTCCTGAGAGAAGACCAGGAAAGAGGTGGGGATGGGGTGGGATGATCCGTCCAGAAAACCCAGGGACCCGGAGCTGTCCAGATTCTGTTCGGCCCGAAACCTACTGGGTGTAAGGCCCAGAAGCTGCTCAACTTGCCCACGGACGGGAAGGAAATAAGGAAACAACGAAAAGTTTCCTGCGAAGTGACCAACACACCCTATTCTGTTTATTCCGTGTAAGACCTGAGAACACAACGCGAGGCCGGGTTTGGAGAACGAGCCCTCCCTCAGAGTCCCGCGCGGAGCAAGGTCTTAGGGCCGCGAGCTCCGGTTACAGAAAAGCCTCTTCGGCCGCGTCCTCCCTCTGGACTCCGTAGGCCCGGCTCGGGCGCACTGCGCCTCCCCACTCCAACAAACCCATTATCCCCGACTCAGCAGAGGCCCGCGGGAGGGCGCAGCCGCGGCCCGCCGGCGCCGCCCCCGGAGGAAGACCCCGAGCGCAGGGCCGGGCCGCGCCCGCGCGGGCTCCGCCTTGGGCAGCGCCTCCAGTTAAAGGCGGAGCCAAGGCCGACCCGCCGGGTGTGCCGTGGCCCCTCGGGTGCGGGGCCCGCACGTGCCGGAGAGGCCGGGGCAAGGAGGCTTCCAGCCCGCGCTGCACGGGCCTGGGCACCCGGGTTGGAGGGCTTCCCGGGCGCTCCCCTCAGCCCACCCTGCCCGTCCCGCCCCGGTTCACGCAGCAGCTGCCAGTGGCGCTAGAATGAATGGGGTGCTACGCTGCCCCCACCCGCAGTTCCGAGGCGGGTTCTGGGGGAGGGGGGCAGCGGTCCTCTTGGCTGTTCGGGGGAATGACACCAGGAGACCCGGCTTTGCGCCTGTTCGGACAACTGTGTGGCCTCCGGAGCAAGGTACTCAAACCCTTGGGCCTCCGTTCGGTCGCATTTGTTAGTTGGCCCCGCTTGGCCTGGGGCGCTCCAGAACTTCACACTTGGGCCAAGTTGCTGGTGGGTAGGTCAGACGCGTCCCCGTGGCCCGGCCACTCGGCGGCGTCCAGAAGGTTCGGCGCCTGCGTACTTCAGCAGACGGGCCCCGGCGGCCGGGCGCGCGGAGACCCGGCGGGAGTTCCCGCCCCGGGGAAAGGAGGCTTCGAAAAGAGGCACGTGCTTCTCCCAGGGCCTCCCCGGCTGTGCCGAGGGCCCGTGGCGCTGGGTGGAAACCAGGAGCCCGAAGGCACTGGGGCACCGCAGGCCACCAGGGCGCGGGAGCTAGCGGGGAGAGGGGTGGGTGCGTGGCCGCGGCGGGGGCGTCCCGAGGTGGCCAGGCCGGGTGAGGGGAGGGCGTCTCCGGGCGGCGGCGGCGGCTGCGGCGGCGGCGGGAGCGCGGAAGGCCCCTCCCGGCCCGGCCACCTGTTAATGGGCAGAACCGCTCTCATTCAGCTCGCCCTTCTCGGGAGGGGAGAGGTTTGTTCTGTTTGGGTTGGGTGTTCGTGACACAAGTGAGGCAACTTAAGGAGATTTAGCAACGCGAAGACAGTTGCTTACTCAACAGTTTTCTTTCGTTGAGCACCCAACGAAATCTTCGTGTTTTTTACTCCTAGTTTGTGTTCTCTGCTCAAACTCCAGGGGCAGAAAAGTCCACCCTGAAGTGAACACGTGTGCGGTGCCGTGAGGCTTAAAGGATAACTCCTATTGGTGATTTTTAAGGAATTTTAAAACTTAAAACTGTCGTGGGAGCATCGCATTCATTTACTGAAGCTCTGAAAAGATTCAGTGAAGTAACCTCGTTTGTTGTAGAACTTTTCAGTCTTCAGTAGCTACTGAGAGTATATGGAGACGTTTCCCTAGATTGTGAAAACAGTTTTTTTGAGGGGGAAAAAATCGTTAAAGCTATGGAGTATTTACGTGAGCGGGAAAGCAGGTAAAAAGACACTGTATGTCAGCAAATTCATGTCTGCTACATTATTGGGCTAAAAAAGCAGTGGTGTCATTTCTTGTGTCAAAAGAAAATTACTAGTTTTCTCATGTATTTGTTCAAAATAGCAGTTTCACAAATAAACAGATTTCTTTCGATTGTCAAGATAAATGATAAAACCACTACTTACTCTGGCAGAATTGTTATTGATGTAATTAATTAAGCCTTAACAGGCTCTCAGATTTTCTTTAGAAATACAGAAATACAATTGTATCCGATATATTAAATGTAGTTAATATATACATTATTGGTAGAGAAAATCTGTATCATTACTATTCAAGACCGAAAAAATCACTTGGCTTCTGATGCAGAATTAATTTAAGAACAGAACAAGATATCTTTATGAAATTCCTTAATTGAAAACCTATCAAATTCTCAAGTTATTCTATATTTTCCACACTTCTTTTCCCTTCCCCCATACATTTTAATGTCTAAAATAAGAATGAAAAAAAACTGATTAGATTTAACTAAAGAATAGTTATATTCAACATTATAATATTAAAGTAGAAAGCAACTAAAAGGTGAATACAACAAGAAAACATCTCTATTATCTTTAAGAAAGAACCTGTTTAATTAAATGTGTGAGTGTCTGGAATATGGTTTTTTTTTTTTTTTTGAAAAGGAGAGGCTTTGCATTTAGCTGTGTTTAGTAAACCATTCCTGAAAAAGCAATTATGCCTTAATTATCTTGTTGATATTTACTGATATCTGAAAAAAGAATTGGATTGTTTTGTGAGGGAGGGTGACATGCCATTTTGACCTAATTGTTTAATCATGCTTTAAAAATGAGTTGGATTTCATTTAAAATACATTAGGTGCAGTCTTTCAAAAGCCTGTGAAAATTAAAAATATTTTCCAAAAATCCTTCAGTAACTTAGGTGAAATGGCAGTTACATAATCTAGACGAAGTTGAAACTGCTTTTAATACATCTGATTATTTCTTAGGAAAAAATGAAGCACAGATATGTACGTGTGTTCACAACTAAAATGTATATCTCTCTATGAAATTGTACATTCAGGTTTCTAGGACTGTTAGTTCAAAGATAAGGATATGTTTTAAAATATTTTGGAGTTCTTTCTAATCAAATAGGACTAAGCTCTATTTAATCAGTGGTGACCCATCATAATTTAACCATTGACAATCTATCGTGTTTCTAAAAATTTTACGCCTCCTATCCCCTTTGGACAATTTACTTGGTGGCTAATATAATCAAAGACACAAAGTTCCATTTCATTCCAAAGGTCATAAATACTTCATATTTCAAAGGTTAATCTTTATTGGACAGCTTATGAAACTGTTTTAGAAAATTTTAGAAATTCTTTTAACGTGGATTGTAAAATTAGGCTATAAGGAGCTTGAGTCACATTTTTTTCAGGATTGAAGTGGAATATAAATAATAACTAATTTTGATAGTTTGCATTAGATTAATGAAAATGTAGGAATAAATGGCCTCTGATTCAACAACTTGGTGTCTAAAGAGCTTGTAAAATATTTTTAGTATGCAAATATTCTCATGTATGTTCAAAGCTCTGAACGCTTATGAGATATACCATCGTCTGTCATAGCTATTTAAATGTAGGAATCAAATTTTCTTTTTAAAATTTACTTAAAAATTTTTATTGTGAAGTATACATAGAACAGAAAGTGTAAAACATATGTAAACTTCAAGCGGAACAGAAAATTTACATGGAGGAACATGTTTTTAAATTGTTTGAAAAGTAGATTTGGGGTTGATTACAATACCAGTGTGTAAATTTGTTACATAAATTATGTCTGTGTTTTAGGGATTTTTGTTAAATCCTTTAGAATAGTGAGTACTAATATAGGGATACCTTTTTAAGGCAGAAAAACAATTACAGTCGTAGGATGTAGAAGTTTTATAGGCCTTTGAAAATCTGTAATTTCTTTTTTGATGGAAGAATTATGCTTTATGTAGATATTTTTTTATCAAAGGAGCATCAAGGAAAAGTCTGTCATCTTGTTTCCTAAGCATGGATATTTGACCTTTATGCAGAGCTATAGCTTCAACTCTTGATTTCGTTATTGGTGACACTCAAATTCACATTACTGGCTCAGACCTCTCTGTTGGACTTCATATACCTGTACATCCACTGAGAAGAAGCCACTGGATTTTAGCTCTTAGGATGTTAATGATATGATATCTGGGACTTGCTTCAAAATATAATAGAGGAAGAGAAGGAATGAGTGGAATATAGATAAAACCAGGTTAGCCTTGAATGGATAATTGTTGAAGCTAATGAGAATACATGTAACTTCATTTTACTAGACTTTTGTAGTTTAAATTTT